CCCACCCTTTTTTCTTCCCAGGCTGAAGTATGATTAAAAGCTATAATATGTCAATCTGATGGGAGTTCAGAGAAAAAAGAGGTGATGTTTTGCATGTGTGCACTAGTGTATTCATGTGCTAATGTATATAATGCATATGTACAAAATACATACATGCATGCATGTGAGCTAGTGTTTATCCGTGTAAACGTGTGTGCGTGCACACAAGCACTCATCCACACTAGCATGCTTTAGAGAGGAGGGCACCTCAAAGTAATGAGGACTGGGCAGAGGGAAAGCTTGTTGAGTGAATGAATGAACAAAATATCTGACCCTGGAGTTTCCTCTGCATCCTTCCTGTTTCCAGACGAGATGAGTGCTTTCCCTAAAGTAGGCGATGGACAGTCTTTAGCATTTATCTCCACCATCATTACGACCAACAGTACCCCTGAAGAGGCCCCTCCATTATAGAACATTAAAAAGGAAAAGAATCGGGGTTTCTTGAAAAACCCCTTTGCTATAACATTTAGTCCTCAGTTACTATAGTGATGGTGCTAGGGCTGAGGAACAAAGGGGTCTGGAACGTGGGGAACCAGGATGGTAAGTAGAAACCTTTAGGAGTGATGCACAGGAGGGGAGAGGCGCAGTACCCTCAGCAGCTGGGTGACTTGGTGAACTATTTGCCAAGAAGCACTCCTCCAGATTATTTCAGGTATTGCTCAGGCCCTTAGCACTGTGGCCCTCAGTGCCTGCCATCAAGTGAGGAGTTTACTTTTCCATTCTGTGACCCTGTAACTCTGAGCTTGGCTGTGACTTGCTTTGTCCAAATGCAGCACAAACAAAAGCTTGAAGAGTGCTTTCATATTGGGGTTTGTTCACTTTGGGCTATTTTTTTTAATTGGCCAGAAAATTGCAGCCACATTAGGACTGCAGTTGAACCTAGCTCAAATGCCACCACAGAATCATGATCAAACAAGATGGTTCCACTGAGTTGAGACAGTTTGTTACACAGCAATTAATAACTGTCACAAAGGCCAAAACGAGTAATTTTCTTCTCTGTGCCTTGGTTTATCTATAAAGTATGTGAGTGTCCATTCAATAACACATATAAAGTGCCAAACCCACTTGGCCAAGCCAGTAAATTGTATAGTAGGAAGTCAAACCCATATCTGTCTGTGATCAGTTTGCTCTACAGAGAATTCCTATTCACTCTGCTTCTTTAATTCCTACCTTTCCAAAGGCACCAAGCTCAAGTTCACCTTTGATCCAGTGGCCTTCCTGGAGCCCTCACTGTTCTTAACTCTGTTATATCTTTCCTCCTTCCTCTCCCTCCTTCAATCAATCAACCTCACCTACATGTGCACGCCTTCTCACATCTCCATTCAACAGATACACACTGAAGTCCTCCTCAGTGCAGATACTCTGGGAACACTGTGAAGAACAAAGTCTGCCACCATGGCTCAGTGCCTTCCCTGAGACTCCACATTTCCTGTAAGTCCTAGGCTTGACTTTGGGTTGTATCACCCACTTGACACACTTTACTCTTAAAAGTTAGAACCCTGCCTGGTTCTACACTTCTTACAGGTAAAATCAATTCCTTTCATTTATTCATCCACCCCTCCTTCTTTGCTTAAACCAGCTCCCTGGGAGCACCAAGGGTGGGCAAGACTCTGACAGAGACCAACTCTGTCCCACAGTGCCCTACTGGAGCACTGGGGCCACAGGGGCAGCCTCAAATGCTAGAATTGAACTGATTTCTAGTATCTGTGAGGATAGCTCCAGGAACCCATCCAGGATACCAAAATATGTGGATTCTGAGTCCTTTATATAAAATGGTGTAGTATTTCTATAAAACCTACATGTCCTCCTGTATGCTTTAAATCGTCTCTGGGTTACTTATACCTAATACTGTGTAATGGTTGTTCTCCTGTACTATATTGTTTAGTGAATAACACCAAGAAAAATGTCTGTAGATGTTCAGAACAGATGCAACTTAAAATTTTTTCCACCCGTGTTTGGTTGAATCCATGGATGCAGAGGGACCGACTGTACTGAAGACTTGGTGTTCAGTCAACAACAAATTACTTGGGTGGCTGTTTTCGGCACCCTGGGGTCCCCTCTCCTCCACATGCAGGAAATGAAGATAGAGCTGGGGAGGTGCTGGGCCCCTCTCCATCAGTTCCTGGAGTACCATCACCAAGCTGATGTGAGCACAGCATGACAGTACTCAGCCTCTCTCAGCTGAGCCAGCTGCCTGCCTTTGTGTCTGATGCCAGTGGCATTTCTGTTCAGCTGCCCTACCCTGTGGACAGCAGGCAGCTGTGTATGCAGTCCCTATTAGGTTCAGAGTCCTATGCTGGCACCAGCACCATAAGTGACACAGAGATGCTGCCATCTACCTGATCCTGGACACCCACCTGGCACTGTCTAGTCTACAAACCACAGAAAGAAAGATGACCAGCCCATTTTTCACAGGCAAACTGAAATCTGAAGTGACACCCCCAAGGCCATATAACTGTCTAAATTGAGTCTCTGGGCCTTTAGTGCAGCATTACTTATCAGCCACAATCTGACTCCAGGGAGTGCAGACTCCAACCAGGGAACAGGCGTAGACAACAAAGATACAAAAGATTTTTGTAAAACTACCATAGAAACTCAAAGCCCAGGGTAGGGGAGAGGGCACCTTTCTGAAGGTGTGGGTTTGGTCTGAGTTTGAAAACTGAATATGATATAGATGAAGCACAGGAGGAAGGTGCGCAATCATAGGCAGATGAACTGCAGGGGAAAGAACAAAAGGGGAAAGTATTTGGGGTTTGTAGAGAGATCCAAAATGAGGAGCCCAGCCAGAAGGCAGAGGAAAGGTCAGCAACTCAGGTGGGAGTGCTGAGGGTCCCAGAATGTGGAATTCTAATGCTGGAATGCTGTGAATGGAGGTGATCCATGAATGGAGGTGATCCATTTGAGGTGGGATCTGAGGAACCTAAAAAGGACCGTCTGGAGTAGCCAAATCCTCTGCAGAATTTTGATTGGGAAAATCCCATTGGGTTACCAGCTTTGCACATTCATCACTCATCTTTCCCACACTGTGAGCATGGACAACAGCCATGCATCAAGGTTGAAATAATAATGACGATGAGAGTAGCACTAAGAACCTTTACTACATTATGCTTCATATATATAGTAAGCATGGTAAGCAAGCTTTACATATATGATCCCCTTTCATCCTTAAAAGAATGTGCAATAAGTAGGTGCAGTGAGCCCTCCATATCTATGGATTTCACATCCATGGATTCAGCCAACTGCAGATTGAAAATATTTGGGGGAAAATTGTATCTGTACTGAGCATGTACAGACATTTTTCTTGTCCCTACACAATACAGTGTAACAATTATTTGCATATCATTATATTCTATTAGGTATTATGAGTAATCTAGGGATGCTTTAGAGTATACAACATGTATTTTTAAAATAGTGTGTGCCACTGCACCATTTTATATAAGGGGCTTGAACATTCACAGATTTTGATATTCACATGGGGTCCTAGAACCAATCCCCTATTGGTACTGAGGGATGACTTAACTATTATTTCTATTTAACACTTGGATTTGAACCAAGATTTTGACTTCAGCATCTGTGCTTTAAACCAGCAAGCTATTCTGCCCCTCAATGACCATCTGATGAAAATGAATGGGCATTCAAAAGCAGAATTTTTTTTTTCTTTGCTGTACTGGAGTTTAAACTCAGGGCCTCACACTTACCAGGCAGGTGCTCAATCACTTGAGCTACTCTACCAGTCCTAGCAGAATAACCCAACTAAAAGCTATCCAGAGATCAAGTTTTGCTCCTTAAGTTGGATGCATAAAAATACAAATTTCAACTTTTACAAAGGAACTCTCACCCCTAACTTACAGATTGGGAAACTGAGGCCTAGAAAAGCAAATGCCTTATCCTATCCCCTGCAGCTGGCCAGGGTCTCAACCAGGCCTTCCATCTGAGGTCCAGGCCCTGGGCAAAGACTCTTAGCCCCTGAGGAACCTACCACCTGCTGGCTCTGCAGGATGCAAACACAGAAAGATAATGACACCAAAGAGAAAGGGGCTTCACACAGTCTGCAGTTCTCACCCCTCATTACCAGAGATTTTCAAATGGAATTTTAGTAGCAGAATCCCCTCCCTACACACACTTTAAATGAGAAGCTCTTTAAGGAGCCCCTAGATGTTGAAAACATAACATTCTATCTGGTGCTCCACCAAGTAGGTATAACCACCCTGCCCCACCCCCGCCCCTAGGCTATCCATGGAGCTTCTCCAATTCCTCTCCAAGTAAGCCAAAAACTGCTCAAAGCAGTCTGTGAGCTGCTGCCCCAGAGCCACAGTGTTCGTGCTCCCCGCTCAGCTCGCTTACCTTCTTCCATCTAATGCTCACCTCAAGTGTGGTTAGATCTGATCTGACTCTTAGCAGGTAGCAAGATCAGCTCTGGGCCAAAAATGCGATGTTGTGAAGTTATCCCTGGAAATGGCAAGACATGCTTGCCCCCTCACCTCGCATCATCCTCAGAACAGGACTTCATTTTCCAGAAGAGGATACTTGGACCCAGACAAGCTGTGTGCCTACCTAAAGTCCCCCAGTCAGTAAGGAGTGGGCCTTCACTGGAGCCTGTGCTACCTGACTTGTAAGTCACATTACTGCCCTCCAGAGTATTCACACCTATGCTCCCCAGGCTTGACTGTGTGTCCTTCACAGATTTTTTCATACGTAACTCATGCCATATCTGGCAGATCGTTCAAATCTCTCAAGAACTTTTACCAAATAAACATTCCCCAGGCCCCGCCCAACATGTAAAGAATTGGCAGCTGGGGCTGCAAGTCATTACATCCTGACATGATGACCCACTGTCACTCCAGCACAGGACACAACCAAAAGGCCCAGGATCATCCCAGACCTCTGCTTCACTTTGTCTAGCTCTGGGTGCTAAAGACAGAGCTTTAATCACAGCAGCAGTGGGCCTGGGTCGAACTTACTGTGTAGAGCTCATTGGTCACTTTCAGGAGCTCCTCGTGCATCTGTAGGCCAATCTCCTTGCTCTGGAATAGAGAAGAATAAATGTCCACACATTGAAGTGGTAAGTGTTTGAGGATACGGATTTGATTATTACATATCATGTACATGTTAGAATTGTCATTTTGTACCCCACAACCATATACAAATATTAGATGTCAATTATACTTTTTTTAATGTCAGAGGGGGAGAAGTTTTTCTGGTTGCATTTACCAATTTCTTCCCAACACAGAAGAGCAGGAATGTTTGGGATGGGGTGGAAAGGACACATAAATGAACATAAACCTCTTCAGTGTAGATCTGAGTTCCCCAACTGTGTCCATGAAACAAGTCCCCTGAGAGAGGTTCTTTGCAAAAGGAATTCTCTGGTCACATAAATTGGAGAGCTCTACACATGACTTCCCTGTCTTCATGACTCACAATGACATTAGCATATTAAAGATTCTGGGAAACCCCACAGAATCTTTCTTTAATTCTGTGTCCCAAATGAGTATGACCAGAGTATGAACCCCTTGTTCAATAGTCATGAACATTTCATAAGAATGGGGTTCCACAAGTCACAGTTGGAGAAACAACCATAAGCTAGCATCTCAGCTCTTCATGGGAGTAAATAGAAATTCTCAGGTCATCCAGGAAATACCCTCCACCAGCAAGTCAGCACCATCCTGCCTCCTAAAGGCTTGTCTTCCTTAACTAGGAATCAGTATTTGACACCAATTTACACATCATCTTCCTGGCTTTGAGGGCCTGGCACAACAGATGCCTTAAATCTTGGTTCTCCTTGCCTTGCAGCCCTTTCTCTGTTTCTGGGTCCAGATTGCCAAGAATCACCTCTGTGAAGGCAGCTATTTCCTAACAGTCAGCATAAAGCTCTGGGAGGAATCTCAGATATCTGTTCAGGCCTCCTTCTACTTCCAGGGGCTAAAGAGGAGGGACTCAATTCCAAACCAAGTGAGGCCTGCCAAGCTCATTGTGTCCTTCAGCAGCATCCCTGAGTGTGTAGTGGTCCCAAAGGAACTCAATCAGCTATCCCCATCTCCTATTCTCTGAGCAATCAGTGCCTCAGTTTCCCCTGAAGTTCCTCCTCCTGATGTTTACTCTTCTGTTGCTGACTCAAAACTCTCCGACAACCCCTGAGGCCTCCCCTCAATCCTCAGACTCCCCAATATCTCTGACACCCAAGATTCTGCTTCTTACATATTTATTTTTATGCTCTAACTTTTGCAATAGGTAATAAATGCACATGGTTCAAGAAACTCTAACAGACAGTGAGGCATAAAGGAAAGAATAAAGCTCTCAGGCTCCCAAAAACCCTCCCAGAGAAACTATAAAAAGTTTCTTCTGCTACATTCCAGAAACGGTCTACAGATATACAGGCATACATTTGGATATCACATGTTCTCTCTACACAAGAGGAGGATACTACACACACCTTCACATCTTGCCTTTCTCATTTAACAGTGTATCTGTAGCCCATATAGCTCTTGCAGCCATTTGTACACCACAGCTTGGGATTCCATATACCACATTCATCACCATTAATTTAACCAGCTCCACAGAGATGGACATTTACATTACTTCCAGTGTCTTATTTCAAACAATGATTCAGTGAACATCCTTGTACCCATCACTGTGATGTCAGCTCCTACCTCTGAGCGGCCAGCAACCATATCACCATTTCTGTAGGCCTCTCTCTTGGGCTCCATCCTATATGACCTTGAGCTCAAGCTCAAAGACCTGTGTCTTTAGCTGCTGTGTAACAATATGGTCTGGATGTCCTCTCATCACATCAAACTCAAATTATCCAAAAGTGAACTTCTGAAGTAAACTCCCCTCAATTTTGTACTATGGGTTAAACTCTTGCTGGGCTCCTCAACCAGAAACCTTTGAGTTATCTTGGACACTTTTTTGTTTTCCCTTTTCCTCAATTCAGTTTGACACTGTTTGAAGGCAGTTTGCCTTCAAACTTCAAACTTCCTTCTCCTCTTTGTAGCAGATGATGGGGTTTCTTGCTTTTCCTCTTTCCTAGTAGATCTACACATTTGGCCCTGTATTCATTCCCCCAGCCTGGATATTCCTGGAAAGCTGATTCTATTCCAGTTCAACATGCTGGATTCTTCTTTGTGTTGTTGTAGTCTGGGGGTGAGTAACTAGGCAGAAAAGAAGGACTTACATGGTTTAGGAACAGGTTTTAGCCTTTCTACCAAGTGCAAACAAAATGCATGTAACCCTGATTGTTGCCAGCAGGCATCTTAGGATCAAAAGGAGGAACCTGCTTTAGGATGGCAGAGCAAAAGGAACCTCCCAATCAGTTGATTGAACTGAGGCCCCAGAGCCTGCCTCCCAGTCTACATGCATTTCTCTGGCTTTACTGGCTAAGCCACTTTAAACTGGGTTCTCTGTGACTTGCAACCAAAGAACCCCAAGGGATCCAGTCTTATTCTCCACCACCACTCCTGGGCCAAGCACAGCCTCATTGTACACCCAGGTCTATGAAACTACCTGTTAACAAAGTTCCCAGTGCTTATCTCCTTGAGCTAATCATCCATTCTACATGTCCATCCAGTTGCATTTCCCAGAAATGTATTTCACTATGTCCCTATATGCCAGTTATCTGCTGGATCAAGTCCCAATTCCTTGGAATGACGTCCAAAGCTTTATGTGATGAGCATAGGCTAGGTTATACAATGGAGTGGGTGAACTTTGGAACCTCAGATACCTGAATTGGAAGCAAGGCTGTAAGTCATTTAGCCACTTGGCAGCTCAGCTTCCCCATCTGTAAAATGAGCACCTGCTGATGTCTTCTCTGCACCTGTAAGGGGAGGTGCAGAAATACTGCTGTTCACTTGTTTCTGAATTTATCATGTGCTTCCCCTGCTGGAATGCAAGCCCTGTGAGAGTAGAGACTTTCTCTCTGTGGTAGATTCTCAGATCCCCCCAGCTGCTAGGAGTGCTGCCAACATACAGCCCTGAGCTGACAGCAACTTCAGGGATGGCCTCAGAGAACAAGGTAACACCCCCTATGGGTGTGGCCTCATCCAAAGACTGATTGGTGTGGTACAGAGACCTGACACTCCTGTCCCAACTTGGACAGCTACTCTTCTACTCCCTTCCCTACTCTCCAAGGGCTTGACCCCAAGAACATGCCCTAGTCAATGCCCTAGATGCTAAATTCAGCTGTCTCAGAGTCTGCTTCCTGAGATCTATTTGCAACATCTCACTTCTCCATCACCATAGCCCTGCTACACAGTCTGTCACACAATGTTGATCAAAAATAGTATTTATGAATGAATCTATGAACAAGTGGGGGGCAGTTCTTCCAAACCTTGGTTTCCTTATTGTAAAAGTGGGATGATGTGATAGGTATCATGGAGTTCCTGTGAGGATGACTAGACAATACACATGGTGCACAAATTAAATGTATATTAAACTGTGGTATAGGCTGAACTGACATCCACAAGTTGCCAGCAACAAAGGTATACAGAGAAGAGAGGTTATATAGATAAGGGAATATGAGGCCGAATCTTTCCTTATGAATCTTTCAGTTTGGCTGGGTTGAGAGTTACAAACACAGAATTCACTTTGAATTGATACAGTACAAGGTACTACAGTCTCCTGCAAGTGGATATCCAGTTTTCTAAGCACCATTAGTGGAAGAGACCATTTTCTCTCCAATGCATTTTTGGGGCTCCTTTGTCAAAAATCAGATGACTATAGTTGTGTGGGTTTGTGTCTGGGTCTTCTATTCCGTTGGTCTTCATGTCTGTTTTTGTGCCAGTGCTATGGCTCTGTAGTATAGTCCAGTGTTGCTCTTATTGCTCAAGATCACTTTGGCTATTCCCAGTCTTTTGTGCTTCCATATAAACTTTAGGATTGACTTTTCTATCTCAATGAAGAATGCCAGTGGAATTTTGATAGGGATTACACTGAACATACAGATTGCTTTCAGTAGTATAGCCGTTTTCATAATATTGATCCTGCCAATCCACGAGCATGGGATGTCCTTTCAGCTTCTAATGTCTTCATTGATTTCTTTAGTGATTTATAATTTTCATTATGTAGATCTTTCACCTCCTTCATTAATCTTATTCCTAGGTATTTTAATTTTTGAAGCTACTGTGAGTGTATTGTTTTCCTGATTTCTTTCTCAGACTGTTCATTGTACATAGAGATGCAACTGAATTTTGTGTATTGATTTTGTATCCTGTCACTATACTGAATGTGTTTATGAGAATGAAGAGATTTTTTGCTAGAGTTTTTAGAGTCTTTCAGGTATAAGATCATATAATCTACAAATAGGGATAATTTGACTTCTTCCTTCCCTATTTGAACACCTTTTATTTCTTTCTCCTGTCTTATTGCTCTGGCTAGGAATGAATAAGAGTGAGGAGAGTGGACACCCTTGCTTCGTTCTTAATTTTAGAGGAAATGGTTTCATTGTTTTCTCCATTTAGTATGTTATTGGCTATAGGTCCGTCATATATAACCTTTATAGTTTTGAGGAATATTCCTTCTATTCCTAGTTTCTTCAGAGCTTTTATCATGAAAGAATATTGAATTTTATGTAAGATCTGAAATGGTGAAATTACTTCAGGAAAAAATAAGTAATCCACTAGGATCACATAGGCACAGGAAATAACTTCATAAATAGAACTCCAATAGCTCAGCAATTAAGACAAAGGACTGACAAATGGGACTGCATGAAACTAAAGAGCTTCTGCACAGCAAAGGAAACAGTCACTAGACTGAAAAGACAGCCCAAAGAATGGGAGAAAATCTTGCTAGCTATACATCTGACAAGAGATCAAAAACCAGAATTTATTGGGACCACAAAGAACCAACAGCACACTAAAAATAAATGGGCAAATGAACTGAACAGACAATTCTCAGAAGAAGAAGTACAAATGGCCAATAAATACACAAAGAAATGTTCAACACCCTTGGCCATACAGGAAATGCAAATCAAAAACAACACTGAGATTTACCTCACTCCAGTCAGAATGGCTATCATCAGTAACACAACAAA